AAAAAAAAAATTTGCGATATACTCACACATTCCCTTTTTAAAATATCAATAAACGTTCAAAATTATTGTTTTAAGAGTTTACAGAAGCTGAGCAAAGTAAATTGTGGTTGGTACATAACCGTGAAGGCAGTGAAGTTCTTCATCATTGGAACAATTCATACTCTTTACGGAAATGCGATGTTGAGGATAGAAAATATATTACCGCGAAAGACATATTCAATATCCGGCCAATTTTGAAAGAAGCGAAGGGCTTCGAATTGGTAAGACTTTCCACTTTACTGCGTAGTTGCTTGTCAAATTTACGATTACAAATTTCTTTAAATAGATCGAACGAGATTTTGTTATAAAATTTTCTGGCAGACAAAATAATTTTATATTTGGATGGCAACAATTTTTCTCCTGCTTATTCAAATTGTACGAAAAGAAGCTAACTGAAAATGACTTGACTTATAAGGAACTTCTTGAAAAAAATGCGAAGTTACAGCCAGATAATGACGATAAGCTACATCCAGGTAAACATACTTCATGTAAAGTTCAAAAATCTTACCTTAATTATGTATAACTACTTTTTTCCTTTTATTGCACTGAAGATTCAATAACGGCTATTCAATTTCATCTCCAGGCATCTTTGATGGCCCCAAGAGCTAACAAAATTCGTTTGTCGAAGGGGGGAAATTCCGCTGGAAAGGTACGGTTCTGGAAACCAACAGTGGCAGCATTTTCGTCCAAGCAAAGGTAAATGGAACTTTCAAAGTTAAAAATTGGTATGACATTAGAGATTAAATTACAGATCCCTGGCGATATTCAGAGAATAGTTGATTTTAAACGAAAGCGTATGTTAGACATGGGTCTGCATCTTCAGCCATTCATAATTTTAATAGGTAAAGACTTCACCAATATACAAAAAGCCTATGTGAGAATCGAATCGGTATCGTATGAGTTGCCGTCGCTTCTAAAAGCACTTGATTTACTTTTTAAAATTTACTTAGTTTTCAATCTTCAATACCCATTAGAGTGCGAGAACTTTTGTTATTTGATTCAATGGGGCCTTTACGAAATACGCACGAAGTCAGATGAGCAAATACCTTTTGTATTTAATACATTGAATCAGATAAAAAGAGAAGACAAGAAAATGCAACTTTCTTAATGTATTTTAAATAGTGCACACAAATTGCTGGCAATTTATTAAATTTGCTACTGGGTAGTTTAAGCTGTAAATTAAACTAAACCCGTTTATTTTAAATATTAAGCTATGGATATTAGAGATGTCCTTATTTTTTGATATTGACTTTTTGAAGAGTGCCGGCCTGATTATTTTTCCTTTTGGTCTAAAAAACCCACGTGTCAAATTTCGTGGCGATCCGAGCATATTTAATGGACCCGGAAATTGTTTGAAGTTTGTTACATTCAATTGCATGCAAAATGTGATATTTTACCTATTTTTTCTCGTTTTTAGTCGCAAATACAGCTAAAAACTAGAAAATAAAAAGAAGCAGATATAAGAACTGTTACTTATTCAATCATTTTTAAGATTTGTCTTGTGTGTATGTATTTACTTCTAGCAATCGGCTGTTGTAGGCGAACTGAAAACATCAATTGTCGGCGCCTGTGAAATAAAACACAAAAAATACAATTTATAAAATAAAGACTTAATTTTAATTAATAGGACTATACTGTTCACTATGTCTGTATCAACTGTAGAACATATTCCAACTACGTCACGCATTGTGACACGCAGATCGCTTGAAAATCTATACAAAATCGATTTGGTGGGCAGGACATCCCATCAAATCACTGGCGCAAAACTTCCGTCAAACAAACAGTTACTGCAAGTATTTTTCTACAACATGAGATTTGTAGATCTTAATGCAAAAGATAGCGCCAAGTTGGCTATCAATGCAGCAAAAATATTTTGGCAGCAGGCGAAAATTCCTACTCGAGAAGACCACAAATGTGCGGACAAGTTGATAAAACTATATGAAAATTGGAAATCGATTCAAAAGACGGCTCCTAATAAGAGATCTAATGCACAGAAGAGAATTGCCGAGGAATATGTGAACAATTTAGAGGATCTGTTTGATATCGCCACAGCTGATGCATTAGACACTATGAAAATTTGGGAAGACAAACAATTTTTGGAAATGCAAAGACAGAAAGGACGTCCTGGCTGCATGACAGGTGTTGATATGGTTTTATATGGAAGAGAAAAAAGAGCACAAGAGCGGCTACACAAAGAACAAGAACGCAAAAGGAAACATCACGAACAAACATCCCAAGAATCGGGTAATTCATTACATTAAGTTACAGTGGGACGTCAACTATTTTTAGGTTTATGTAGTTAATTTATTAATTTAAATTAAATACAATTTTACAGTAGTAAAAAACTAAAGGCATTATTCTCGAATGCTATTATAATGTTTTTATAATTTCTTAGCCGTTGTCAATTTGATGGATTGGAATGATTCAGATAATGAGAATGAAATACCATTTGGCGAACCAGACATCAATGAAAGTGAAACAAGTCATTATATGGAAGAAGTGGAATCCATGGTATTTGAATCAAATGCTAGTTCTTCTGCTGTTAAAAGAGGTCGGAAGCACTTTATAACTTCTCGTTTGGTAGCTGCGTTAGACAACGCAAAAGTATCGGATGGCATGGCAGTCCATATACTAATTGCGGCTGCTGAAGCATTGGGCCATCCAGTAGAAGAATATGCCATCAACCGTTCTACTATTCATCGTCTACGTCAAGAATATCGTTCGGGAGCGTTCAATGAAATTTCCGCTGGCTTCTCTGATAATGTAAGTTAGAGCCGTAAGTTTCACTATAAATCCTGATTATTCTTTCCAAATTCATAGGTAAGTAAAGATGGATCAATTATCGCGCATTTCGACGGGAAACTGATGCAAGACTTAACAGATCGCAACAAAGTGGATCGCATTGCAGTTTTGATCAGTTACAATGGGAGTACTAAATTTCTCGGAGCACCTAAAATAAATTCATCAACTGGTGAAAATATTGCAGAAGTGGTATATGATCGACTGAGACACTGGAATCTTTTAGACAAAATAAAAGGACTCTCTTACGACACTACAGCTTCGAATACTGGCATTGACAATGGAGCTGCAGTTCTTTTAGAAAAAAAGTTAGAACACAAGCTACTTCATTTACCTTGTAGGCACCATATATATGAAATCATATTGCGACCTCTGCATCGGGGGTTCTAATATTTGAAAGATTTTCAAAGTCTTGGCCAGATTTGAATCAAGACATATTTGAAAGCGGAATCGACGACACAATTGTATATTCCAAAATAAGTTTAGAAAAACGAAAATGTTTAATAGACTTTTGTAACAACCAACTGACTAAATTGCACAGTCGAGATGATTATAAGGAAATGCTTCAACTAGCATTAGTCTTTCTTGGTGCTAGAAATTTCAATTTTAAAACACCCGGAGCAACCAGCCACGCTCGGTGGATGTCCAAAGCGATATATTGCTTGAAGATATTTATATTTCGCTCACAATTTAAACTTACAAAAAGAGAAATAGACGGCATACGAGATATATGTATTTTTCTTGTGAAACATGGTTTTTATGTACAAATGCTATATTGGCACCGCGTCACGACTTAAACTTCATAAAAGAAGGGCTAAAGTATTCAGAAATAGACATGAGTATCTCGACTGTTATTATCAAAAAAATGAGTAACCATTTATGGTACATTAACGAAAAAACGGTGGCGCTAGCATTTTTTGGCCCGGAAGTTTCATGTGAGGAGAAACGCAATATGGTCGAAAAACTCAATTCAAATAATCCAGTGGTCAAATTAAAAAATGGGCGCAATCATTCAAATTTATCTGCATTTGAAAATTATACTTTAGGTGACTTCGTCTCAGAAAAAACTCAAGAGTTTTTCGGACATTTTTGTTTATCTTCAAATTTCCTTAACCTCGACCCCTCGGCTTGGAAAACTGCTTTCGATTTTGAAGAAGGTTGGAGCTTCTGCCGTGATCTTTTCGTCGTTAACGATGCCGCTGAAAGAGGGATTAAATTTGTTCAAGATTATAATCGCATACTTACACACGATGAAGAAGAGCTGCAATTAGTGCTCCAGTTGGTCGAAGAGTATAGAAAACAATACCCTTCTTTCAAAAAATCAGTGCTACTGCAATCAGTTGTTGAGATAACTGAGTAATTAATGTATATGTGACTAGAAATGTTTTGCGTATGCATTAAAATTAGAATTAAAAATATGAAAAATATCCTTCAATAAATGAATTATTGCTAAAAAATCTATATTTTTCTTATTCCTCATTAGATTTTTTAATAAAAAAGTAATATTAGGATCATTTGTTTTGTTCTACTAAGTTCTAGGATGAATTTATATAAAATAGTAGTATTTTTTTTTTGGTTCATTAAAATAATATCGTTTGATGCATCTAAAACCGACAAAAAATAAAAATAATGTAAAATATTGCATGCGAACGTATATAAAACTTCAGACTGTTTCCGGGTCCATCAAATGTTTTCTAATCGCCACTAAACTTCAGACGTTGGTTTTTTATACCAAAAGGAAAAATAATCAGGCCGGCACTCCTCAAAATAAGGATTTTAATTTTTCCCGAACAAATAACAACACCTCTAATGGATATTGTTCCATGAAATATGGAATATTTTTGAAAACCTTGATTTATAATCGCAAGTAAATTCCTGTAAACGTTATATGTATGTTCTTTTATAACTTTAATCAACATGGAGTGTAATATGTGCAACAGAAAATTATTTCGTGATTCAATTCAAGTAATTCGTCACATACAACTTATGCATCGTAATAAATTATGCTATCGTTGCCTTAACGATTCGTGTCAACGTATATTCGCGTCTATATCATCTTTAAAAAAACACTTAGACAAATGTATTATAATAGCTCATAAAACGAATACTTCTATTGTTCGTTCGTTTGGGTCACCACAAAATCTGAATATATTAAATTGTGATGAATATAATACTGCAGTACCTAGCAGTGATATAAATACTAGTTTAGTCGTAAATAATATAGAAAAATATATACTTCAATTCATTGGTCAGCTTTATAGCAATACATCAATAGCCAGATCGGTAGTAAATGATATTGTTAATAACTTTGATTTTTTGTCGAGTAAAATCATAAACAAACAATTTTGATGCTAATTTAAAAGCATTCATTCCGCTACAGTATCATAAAGATATAAGCTCCTGTCTGCAAATAAGCATTTGGTCCGATTTGAACACGGAATATAAACGATTAAAATTTTTACAAAATAATAATTTACTTTTATCTCCAGAATCGATTCTAATTGGAGAAATAAGTGATGATAGAAGTATTGGCGGTGTAGTTATGTTCACACACAAGATATGCTATGCTCAAGTTATTCCTTTGAGAAGAGTTTTAAAAAATTTGTTCGAGCTTCCAAACGTTTATAGTACAATTATAAGCCACATTGAAGATGAATATTCGCGAAATACTTCACCTACATTGTATACAAGCTTATTCCAGGGTCGTGTTTGGAAAAAGATTTGTAAAAATTTTTGTGGCAAAACGTTTATTCCATTATATTTATATTATGATGACTTCGAAATCAGTAATCCTCTTTCAAGTGCTGCAGGTGTTTATAAAATAGGAGCTCTTTACTTCTCAATTGCGTCAATGTCACCAGAATTTGCTTCGTCAGTTGACAGTGTTTACTTAGCTCAATTTATTAATAGCGTGGACTTGAAAAAGTTTGGAAATAAAAAGTGTTTTTGGAAAATAATTGATGAGCTTAATTACCTTGCGGACGTTGGAATAGTAATCAATGTTAACAATCAAACTTACCAACTATTTTTTGTAGTCGTTGGAATATTAGGAGATAATCTAGGAATGAATAGCCTTCTTGGATTTACGGAATGCTTCAGAGCAGAATATTTTTGTCGCTTTTGCAAGGCTTCAAAAGAGGACTGTAACTTCGGGCTTGTAGAGGATGAGATACCATTAAGAAAAGTAGATAATTATGCAGCTGATGCACAA